CTCTCTCTCTCTCTCTCTCTCTCTCTCTCTCTCTCTCTCTCTCTCTCTCTCTCTCTCTCTCTCTCTCTCTCTCTCTCTCTCTCTCTCTCTCTCTCTCTCTCTCCCCTTTCTTTTCTTTTTTTTTATTACTCGAAGATCGACGACAACGTAATTAATGCTGATTACTACTGGCATTATTAACACGAGCGGCTCGGATCATTCTCCACGAAACGCGCGAAAAAAGTTTATCGTTTACACCTGTACACATTTAGTGCCGGTCGTTAAACCGGTTACGGAGAGTTTTCCCACGTAGCATCGCGAACCGCGACGATGCCATGCCGGGCGTCGCATTGGGAAGCCTCGTGGCTTTTCGCGCTAATCGTCGGCCACGCGACGCCCCGTGTGTATCCAATTAGCAGACGCTATTTGCACACGGACGCTTATTAAACGATTATAAGACGTTTCACCGAAGACGCTAATTGCGGGTTCGCGCGGCCTCGCGACGATTCAAACTTTATCGCGTCCTCGCTCTTGTTAGGTAAATTGATCCGCAGCGAAATCGGGACGCGATTGCCGTCCACGATCTTGCCCGCGGGACTGCGCCGACTTTACGCCGATGCGGTAAAAGCGCTTGGCTATTAAACGCGCGCGGAGATACGATCAATTAGTGTTCGCCGTGCGCCACGCGAGAAGCGACTACGTGCCGCGTTTGTCCCGACGCGACGACGGGAACGTGTCTGCTGCGGATGCCACGCGAAACGCACGTGGACTAGTCCGCACGCGAGTACGCGAAGTAAAGTGAGTTGTATCGTGAACGCAATTTGGATTTGCGAGAGGACAGTCCGCGAAAGTTATGCGATCAGATTAGAAATCTGTTCACATAATTTTACTCAGAATTAATTGTAGCATATAAGATCGTGTTACTCAGTTGCATCTCTGAAATATAAATCGTAAATTTTCTTAGCTGCTTATAATTCAGTAACCACTTACACCTTGTTATACTTGTTATTAGTCTTCCTAGTATATGCGATTTAGAGAAAGTACGTAATTTCTAAGACAATCTGCGTGTAAGTAATATATAGACGGCACTATTTCTGTGACGAAAAGTTGAAAATATACTGGCCATTTCAAATCGCGATAACTCAACAATAAAAAATTGTATATCTCAATTTCCAACAGAGTTCTCAAGTTTAAAGTAAAAAACAATTTTTTTCAGTTCCATACACGAGTTCAAAATTGAAGCTTTTAATCAACTTTGCATCGCGATTTGGAAATAAGGACATTTAAAGTAAAAATTTCTAACAAATTTTCTTCACGAAAGAAAAAGCTTGATGAGATTTGATAGCAAAATCTTTAAGCTTTAAAATAAATCTTTGAAAATAGCTCTGCAATTATCTTTACAAATTTTATGCATTTCGTCGCTGAATTAAAGCGATCTATATTTATTTAATTGAGAAATATGATCTTAAAGAAAAAGAAGAAACCTGAGTAAAAACCGTATTAACATATCCGCTAAAGTGCTGCTAATCGCGAACAATTCCAATCAATCGCCATGACGTTATACTAACTACTCATGCATATCGCCTCGGCAATTACCGGAGAATCCACAATGGCCGCGTCTCTCCTCGTATGGCTATCTGTCCCGGAATTATTCTACCGGAGGCCGTATTCAATCAACAACCGATAACTAATATCGTTCCTTCACATAGACGAACAGCACCGAGTCCACTATCGGTCCGCGTTGCAAACACACAGTCGGAAATTCACTCTTACGCGTTTACAGAACGGCGATGACGGACGTGACAAGCGACCCAATTTTCCTGCCAGGTGCATTCACGCGACATGCACCGCACATGCACGAACGGCGGGACCGGTCCTCTCTTCGTGCGCGCATAGCTCAGAGCCGGAGAATAACTTCGCGGTTTTGCGGTATGTCGTAGCGGCAGCCGTACCGAGATTCACATGCAAATTTTCATGCTCGAACTCATTACGCGGAGGAATGGAGCGGGAGAGGGGGAGAGTGTTAATTACGCGGTAATGACGTCTATGGGCGTGTACATTTTACGAGACAACGGACCTGATGCCGCCGCAAATGCAATTTTGCGAGAGGCGTTGTCGGCGCAATGGCGAAAACAAAGAGAGACGACTGTAAAAATAAAAAAAAACACAGTTATCGATGATTTATCGACGACGGTTCTCCGAAGAACTCATCCATCACTCCGATGGAACTGTAAAAGAACGCGTGCGAGGCTTCTTCTCTCAGTTTCTCTTTCATCGTTCTCCTTCTGTGGGAAACCATGAAAGAGCAGTTATCTAAATAAATACGTAAATCTTCGAGCCAATAGTCAATAATTTACGCAATGGCGCTCGTAGAGATAATAATATGTAAGTCCTACGAATGCTACTGATCTGTCGATTTTTTATTTGCCTCTTTAATTCTCCGTTAGTCGTGATGTTTCTACTAATGCGAGCAATCGCGCAATTTGTCTATAAAATAAAGCACAAAGCTAGGTATACGTAAAAAATTTTTTTATTATATAATTATTAAAAATAAAATAATTCAATTTTAATTCTTAATATGTATATCTATAATATATTTATATTTTATCAATTGTATATCACGACGGTTTTGTTTCTCTTAATATTGTTCATATTTTATATTCATCTCTCATCTAAATTGAATTTTATACCATTGTGTACTGTTTCGTTTTAATTTATCGATATTATTAGTTTGTAGTTAATTTTGCAGTTAAGCAAATCAAAATTATTAAAGTCAAATTAGCAGAATATTATGAATATGATTGTTCGATACCGACAAAAAAGATAATGTACATCATCGTGCACGGTATCTAAGTAACAATAACGATTAATATACCCCATACAGCTGATTACAGTATAAAATACCGCTCCCCCATCCATGAATTAACGGAAGCCAGTATCGTTTTATTTCTCGCGATAGGAACTTCCGCTAGGGCAAGTGCGGTTTTATTACTTTATCATTATTTTATCAATAGAGCCATAAATCATGTTCGATCATATTTGTTTCATTACTAAGAAACAACATAATGAGGATACGAGCAGTTGGAAATTGCGTTTTCCCCACGATTTTCCTTAATTCATAAGCGCGTCGCTCTTCCGCCTGTGTAATTGCGTTTATTCACCGTGGTAAAATAACGCGACGGGACATTATGTCGTGGCGGTCCTAACAATTACGAGTGAAATTAGTCGCCGATAATAATTGTAATTAAGTCGAATACGCGTCTCGAGATAATAAGCGGGAAGTGATTATCGCCAATAGATCAGTGGACATTATTTATGCAAATTGCATGTAGCTACCGCCGCGAATCCGCCATCGCGCTTGCCCTCAAGCTGTTTCTTCGACGAAGACGATTTCTAATTTCTTGTAGTCGTCGAAAACGGACAAGTTCGAATTCATTGGCGGATAATCCGCGCTGATCGATACACCGTCGCGTCGGTCGTAATTGCCGATTATCACGCGAGAAACACAGCTGACGAAACCGGCCGCCTCCGTTCGGAGATAATGCACCTTCTTTGTTCGATGCACTGAGAAACGATCGGGAGACACGCGACCATATCTATTAGGGTCATAATTTAGAGTAAACAAATTTATACGAG